TTTATCTGTCTGTCTGCTTCTTAGCTGGTTCAGGTGGAAGGGTAAATCTTGCCCTCATTACTTCTGCTGGGCCATGAGCAGGAGTCTAGCTTGATCTTTCAAATACAAAAACCTGACTCTATTATTTAAAGCCCTTTAATGTGTCCCACTGCCCCGGGGATAGAATCTAGATGCCTTGACGTGGTCTAAGAGAACCATCATCACGGCCCCCTGCATACCTACATTTCAAAAGCCTCATCACGAGCCTTTCTTTGTTCGGCCAAGCAGACCTCACTTCTGTTTCCGAATGCACCTGGCCTCTGCTGGTCTCAGGGCTGCACACATACCTTCACTCCGCCTGGATGCTTCTCTCACCCCACCCCACCCACTGCTGCATGCTGTGTACTCTCCATCTTCTAGATTAAACGTAAAGCCCCTCTCTGCAGAAAAATGGTCACCAGCATGCTGGACTGCTTCTTCCACATCAGACTACATCAACGGTAGGAACTAAGGTCTTCCTCACTGCCAGGCCTTTGCCTTTGCTGGCTCCTCCGCCTCCGATACCCTCCCTACTTTGCCCAGCCACCCTGGGAGATCCCAGGCGTTCTCACCTCCTCTTTTGTGCACCTCTTCCCATCCTCTTGGCCACTTTCCTGCCCACTTCAGTGAACTCTTTCTCCTCCATGCTTCACTTTTCAAACCCTGTTTTAGGAATTTGCTTCCTGGTCTTTTTTTTTTCCTGGTTTTCTGTGTAACACCAGACTCTCTCGGAGCACTGTGAATCTAGCTCTTTCTTGGGGTGCTGTTTTTGGGGATAACTAAGTGGCCGCAGGAGCGCTTGGCCCTACTGACGTGAGCATCTAAGCCACAGGGGCACTTGGCAGGGGGTGCACTGCCCTTGAGAAGGCGAGTGACATTAATCAAGTAGAACAAATCACATTGGATGCTGTGGCCGATGCAATTAAGCCTTTGTCAAACCGCCTGCCTTTGGCTGGAGATGAGAACATTGTTGAAACGCCTCCCGACTGCCAAGGCTGGGGTCTGCTGAAATGGGCAATTACTGCGGCGAACAATCCATTACTTGTACTGTCAACCATGTTTTCTCGCTCTCTAAATGCAGAATCAAGTGGAAGATGCTGTGGGAATTCAGTGGCATTTAATCTACTGATATGCCTCGGCAGGAGCCGCTCTCTTACCCGGCCGTGACAGCGACGGCACGGGGACAGGCATGAGGCTGGGATGCACAAGGGGAGCAGTTTAGCCATCTTGCGCCTCGCTCTGTCCGTATGTAAAATTAAACCGAGGCAAGAGAATGCTTGTCACGCCATCGTGGTTACTATAGTGATGGGCGCCGGAGACACGACACAGTGTTGTGCTGCCCTGAGCCATGCCAATTTCTTTTGATACTGCTTGTTATTGCATAGAGGGAGAAATGACTGGCACGGCTCCATTATCTTTTTGAATTGGGAAAGTTTCTAAGCAAGGCTTGGCATAGAAAGGCCATTATGCTGGCTATTTTGGGGCAGATAATCCAAGGCTGCTGTGCCAGGATGCTCACTCACCAGAAGGAACAGCTCTGCTTAGCCTTTCCATGTCCTGGTGCCCACAGACACGTTGGTATGGCATGCTGGGCTGACTGGACGTGATGTTTATAATCAGAAGGAACCTGGCCTGGGCCACTCGCCGCCCCTGGTCTTGCCCAGTGCTCCAGGAGCCACAGAGGCCAGCATTTTGGCATGCTCTGAGCAGTCTGGAAGCTTTGCTGAAGGTGACTTAATTGCTATCACAATGGCTGTACCCCAAACTGGAGGAGGGTACCAAGGAACACTAGCAGATCCATTTAAACCATGGCATACATGTGACTAATCAGATAAGCGGTCAGGGGCTGGAGGTGAGGGGTCTGGGACCAGACAGTATGATCTGGTACAGAGAACCTGAGGTACAGAGACAAGTACTTCTTTCCCAGGGCTCCACAGTCTAGGGTTGCAAAAATACAGGTCATATTTTGAGTTGATAAAATTTTTAAAAAAGATAGATAGAAAAGACTAGTGGGCACTGTAGGATCTCTGGCTTGATAGAGTCGGTCACGGAGGCTCTACAGCCAGGGCGGTACTCAGACTACCTGTGAGACTTCTTGGTGCCAACTCCACCTCCGCTGGACACCACCCAGTATGAGGTTGGACCCCAGGCACCAAAAATCTACCAGAACTCCACCCTGCATCTGCAGATGATGCTGAGCACCAGGCACCTAAACTCTATCACTCACTGAAGATGCTGGACACCAGGCACCCAAAGTCCACCCTGGCTGCTCCTGAAAAATTAGGTGGTTTTTCTTTACCCCCAGAGGGGATCCACATGGCACCCCATGTCTGTTCTTCTGAGTGTAAACACCTGCAGAAGCATCAACTCCCAGACTCGGGTGTCTCTTCAGGGTAAGCTGGGGGGCAGGGTTGCCTTCCACCATGGTGCCTGAGCCCACGGGAGGGAGGTGGTCTCCAATCAGCCGGGAGCCCAAGGTGACCCGCGACATTTCTTGAAACCACGTGGCTAAACCTGGTTCGTCATCTTTCACCATAAACCAATTCCCTTCTGGCATCTTCCGGGCTTGGGTCCTCAGATCTCCTGCAGCACCTCCACCCAGAGTCATAGTCACTCTGCCTCTGGGATGACCCATCACCCTGTGCCCCTTGCCTGCTCAGGCCCCTTGCCACCTCTCGCTCTCTCCAGCTGGCTCCTGACTCAGGCCAGACTGCCCCAGGCTCCCCTCTCCCCTGTGCCCTGGTGGTCTGTGACAGTCTTATCCCCCGGCTTACAATCCCGCAGAGGGTCCTCACTGCCTTTAAGAGAAATCTCAACCCTTGAGAATCTTTGGTAACAATTCCTATTTCCTTTTTAAACTTCCCATACATTGAACATTGTTATTCTCTCACGGAATAAAAATAGCCACCGTGGGCGGAGTGCGTACTAGGTGCCCTGCTAGGTAGCCCTCACACACACCTCCTGGGAGGTGAAGGCTGCTTATGCACCTATTTCACAGAAGGGGGAAACGGAGATCGCAGCAATGACAGCAACCCTGGCGCTTCGCTTGAGCACAGGTCTGTCTGTCTGCTGGCCAAGCTGAGGCCTTCAGCCAGGCCTCTGTTTCAGTGAGGGTCTGTCCCCAGATCTCCACTGGATGCCTCGAACCACAGATAGGACCAAACCATCTAGAAACCTTTTTTTAAAAATTGTTTTTAAAGAGAGAGAGAGAGAATTTTTAATATTTATTTTTCAGTTCTCGGCGGACACAGCATCTTTGTTGGTATGTGGTGCTGAGGATCGAACCCGGGCTGCACGCATGCCAGGCGAGCGCGCTACCGCTTGAGCCACATCCCCAGCCCCTAGAAACCTTTTCTTCCTGTTCATACCTACTTATGATAAAGTTTAATTTACAAATTTGGCATAGTATCAAACAACAGTAAATGATAATAGAACCGTCATAATAATAGACTATTATAAAATAGTTATGTGAATGTGGTCTCTCACCCTGGGTCAAAATACCTGATTGAAATGCCTTTGCCCTTTTGCGTTGACGGGGGGTACCTGAAACCACTGGGACCCCCACTGTAGGTAAGGAAAGACCACTGTACGTACAGCCAGTTAAATAGAAGCCTGCTTTGCCCCCACTTCAGTTTGCTGGACAACTCCTTTCCTTGCAAGTGCATCCTTGGTCATTTTCCTGCTTGACTGTGGCTCTGTGGCTTTTTCTGGGAAAGGCCTCTTCTCAGGAGCCTTCTCTACCACTTCCTTCCCCTAAGGCCCCACACATCCCCTCCCTCCGCAGCGCTCCCTGCTTCCCTGATACCAAGACTGAGGGCAGGGAGGACATCCTGTCAGTGGGCAGGAACACGACTGTGGTGGACTGACCTGCAAAGCTCTCAAAGCCGTCCACACTGAATCCAGGGCCCTGCACGGCTCCCTGGAATGCTGCTCCCCACGTCGCCTGAACGCACCAGCGTGCGGGTGTGCCGGCAGCCCAAGGACCCATGGAATGGGCGAGAGGACAATGAGCTTTGAAAACTCCCACCCCCTGGTCCTATCAGCTGTGACTCAGGAGGAGATGTCCCCTCTGCCATGTGAGGCTCCGCCTTGACTTCTCGCTCCGGACACTGCCTCTGGGTGCTCTGAGTAGGTGGGGTCCTGGCTGACTCGTCTCCAAAGTACTGCGCTTTACTGCTAGAACGAACTTGCATTTGTTTGCCCTCTGAGTTCCACTTCTGAGGTGGTGGATGTGGGGTGGGAAGAGACATTCTGGGTTACGCACCCTGTCCCGGGCTCCTTTCACTTTAGGACAGTGGGACTGGTTTGGGAAGGTCACGGGGTGCGGGCTCCCGGGAGGCATTAATGGTTCTTGTTAGCCCCATGCTAAGCTTCTAAGAAATACGCGCTGGCCTTCTTGATCCTTCAAGGGCCGCTCCGTGATTCCTTTTCATTGCACACTGTCCTGGGGCCAGACTGGTTTTTCCTAAAGTTCTGTCAGCCTCCTGACTGACCTTGTGCCATAAAGGTGGTGAGCCAAGGACCACCATTCCTTCCAGCCTCAAAAAGTCTCCGATAGGGACCCCGTGACCTGTGCTTGTTTCCAGCCCTGTCCTGGGAGCAGCTGCCCAGCTGAGGAGCCCAGAAGGGCCTAGCCACCGGGGACCTCCGTGACCAGCCCACAACGTCCTCCCTGGGGAGGCGTGGCCCATGTTGATCTTATCAGTCCCTACAGTCCTCTGGCCATCGCAAAATGTGTCAGTATTTGTGAATTCTTCAATCCGTTTCAGCTGCCAGGACGGGGTAACACGGTAAGTCAAGTGAACTTCCTGGAGACCAGTAGACTTCAAGATCGTGACGAGAAATAATCACACCCCCCCGCCTCACACACACACGGTTCTTTACCCGAGACCTGGGCCAAAGTGTGTCTCAGGATTTGTGTTCCAGAGAGCTCTCCTGTCAATTTCCCAGCAAGGTGAGAGCCTGGGGGTCTGTGTCCATACCTGTGGGGATGGTGGCCCGGGCCTGGCTGGCGGCCGGCTGAGCTGCGTGCCGCAGACAGCTGCCCGTCGGAGGGGAGCCTGCCAGGTGCGGCGGTGTGGTGAGGGGCAGGGCTGGCCTGGCGGCAGTGGCGGGGCTGCTCAGACTGCCACCACCAGGATGCATGGTGGTGGCCATCCCTTTGGCCAGTGGAGATCCTCCAAGCACATTATTTCGGGGTGGCCCAGCCCCTCCTCCAGGAACCCTGAAGAAACAAGCAGAAGCAAGTCGGTGAGAAGGCTCAGGTGAAACCCAGCCTTTGCCGGTGGCCCTTCTGGGTTCTGAAAGAAGGGGAAGTGCTCCAGGAGAGGCCTGATTCAATGGCAAGACGTGGCTTTAGCTCAAGGATGCCCAGAGGTCAGATTTAACAAGAGCACCCTCGATAACACCTTCACGGAGCCAACTCCCAAGGTGAACACTCAATCAATAGCAAAAGAACCCTAAGGAACAGAGGAACGCTCCAAACCACATATTTAGCACCAGAGTGACTGCCCTGATTCGTTCTCACAAACAGCTGTGCGTCTCCAAACACAACCAGAAAAAGCGGATGACTAAGTCGCATCTCACAAGGCTCCGACACATCTGGCACGTGGTGGGGACACGATGCCAGCTCCTCTGGGCCTGGCCCCATCATGTTGCTGCTGGCTGCTGGGAAAGGGCACAGGCAACATGATTTCTTCTGAGGATGTCGGGGAACTTGCAGCTTCGTACCAAAAATAGACGCCCTTTCACCCGGCAGCTTCCAGCTGAAACCGCTTCACATAAGAGGAGCAGGGTGACTTGGGAAGCAAGGCTTTTAACCCTTTTTCTCTGCATGTATCTACTTTCCGTTCATGCCCTGGCTCTGGGAGTGTGGGACACCGCAGAATTGGGGGGCTTAAAACGTTCTCTGGATTTTGTTCCATGGGAACCAGAAAGTCTTCAGTTCGCCCAGAAGCTGGGTAAACTTCTGTTCCTGTTCCTTCGGGGTCTCTGTCTCACTTCTGGGACAGCAGAAGCCACAGTGGAAGAAGACAGGCTGTGCCAAGCCCTCTACCTCCCCTGGGTGCTGGCTCATCTCCCATGGCATAGTAGGACCAGGCTGGGACCTTCATTGGAGGAGAGCCCCACAGCGCTCAGGAAGCGCTTCTCAGAGCAGCTGTGGGAGAAAAGGTGGCACCTGAAAAGGAGCCGCAGGGCAGCGTGGTCCTTCCTCAGCCTCAGGGCTGTCTTGAGACTCACCTCTGCCTTGCAGCCCTGACAGCCGGTGCCACCCATGAGTTTATGGACCACTTTCGGACTTCACATTTAGTCTTTAAAAACAAAAGAGCCTGGGCTTCCCTGCTGGCCAGGCCAGGTCCCAGGGCTGAAGGCGGCTAACGCAAATCCATCTTTAGTGGCACGGTACACCCCTCCCTCCGCTCTGGCAGCGGGTGGCAAGGCCTCCTCCAGCCAGCTCTTATCCCCTTAGTGCAGAGTCTCATGCACCTGGGGTCCCCCCCTTTTTGAATGCACTCTGAATCTCCTCCACAGTTGCAAAGCTGCAAATCACTTGTAAATGTCAGAGTCTCAAGCCCAGAGCACTTTAGGGTGGCAGGGGCAGATGCCGATGAGTCTCCTGGTCTGCATGCAGAGAGGGCTGGGCCTTCGCCTGTCCCTCTGACCTGTCCTGATAAGGTATCAAGTTTCTGCTGAGTATTTATTTGTTTGTTTGTTTGTTTGTTTTAGTTTTAGGTGGACCCAATATCTTTATTTTACATTTATGTGGTGCTGAGGATCCAACCCAGTGCCTCATGCATGCCAGGTGAGCGCTCTTTCACGGAGCCACAACCCCAGCTCCTGCTGAGTGGTTTTTGACAATTTTCCTAAAGAACAGTGAGGATCAGAGAAGGTGTAATTCCTGGGAGCAGAGTCACAGAATCCAGAGGCAAGCTTTTCTGCTCTGTGGTGAGGCGTGGATCCCACAGGGGAAGTCTGAGCCTATGATATAACGACTGAGGGGCTCCTGAGAGACAGGAGGAGACCCCAGGGAGCGACCTCTTATTATCACAGTTACAGAGCTGGAGGGACTTCTGTTTAATGATGTCCATGGCTCTGGGCCGCTTTGTACCTGGATAAAGATCAAAAAAGTTCAAGGGAAGTGAGTAACTGGTGATATTGCCCAAGCCAGAGTTGAGCAAGGTGGCTCGGGTCACCCAAATGGTTCCAGTTTCATTAACCAGAGGATGTCCCCATAACAAAGTGCCTGGCACTGTGGGAAGACAGTCCTTGGAATAAGGACTACCAGATTTCACTTATTTACTTAACCTACATTTATTGAGCACCTAGTATATGCAAAGAGTATACGAGGAGCCCATCATGCCCAGATGGAGATGGTTGCTATGCCTAGGGACTGGAGGCTCTGCACAACTTTGGATGACCCACAATGAGCAGGACTCACAGACAGGTCCATCAGGACGATTTAATAGGTAGAGCTATCCATTCTGACCATGTGACTTGGGAAGGAGGAGGGTTTCCTTAGCAACTGGACTTAGGACTGGGCTCCTAAAGGACAGGTCAGGTTTAATTGGGTAGTGGGAAGAGTTGGGAAGGCATTCCAGATTTGGGGCGGTGTACGGAGGCAACCCTGGCTGTCAGCGCCCACTCCCTCCCCCCCTGAGGAATTCAGTCAGAGGGCTGTGTCTGCATTGTGTAAGGGCCAGGTATGGATGAGCAACGAAGGCCAAGATGCTTGGGGGAACCTCAGCACTGATGGGGAGCGGTAGACAATGAGGGCCAAGGTACTGATGAGTTGCATCAGACCCACTGGTGGTCACTCAAAGCACTCAAGACTTCAGCCCTAAGTGCAGCTGCAGGGTGAGCATGCATGGGAAGGCTGTAATGGGAACTGCAGGATGAGCATGCATGGGAAGGCTGT